GAATGAGGTAAAAAAGTTTATCTGGAAAAGCATTTTTACGCGGTTCGGATTGCCGACAGCAATGGTGTTTGATCACGGATCACAATTTGACTGTAGCCCGGTAAAGAACTTTCTAAGCATATACAAAGTGAAGTTTGCGTATGCGGCAGTATGTCACCCGCAATCAAATGGTCAAGCTGAGGCCGCTAACAAGAAGATACTAGGGGCAGTTAAGAAAAAAGTAGAAGACGCTAAAGGCTTGTGGGCAAAGCTGATACCTGAGATTTTGTGGGCGAATCGTACGACAACAAGAGAAACTACGGGGGAATCTCCTTTCAACCTCGCTTTCGGCTCAGAGGCAGTGGTTCCGGCGAAAAGTGGATTACCTTCTTTTCGAGTACAACACTTCTGCGAAAGTCAAAATGATTTGTTGCTTCGACAACAATTGGATTTTCTACCGGAAGTAAGGTTGACAGCTGCCATAAAATCTGCAGCATACAAAAACCGAATGAGCCACGCTTATAACCGGCGCGTCAATTATCGGCCCATGGAAGATGGTGATTTAGTTCTGCGCAGATTGGCCGCAACCGGCAAAGGAAACGCAGAGGGTAAACTTACTGCAACCTGGGAAGGGCCTTACCAAATATATGAAACACTTCGACAAGGGTCTTATCGGCTAATGTCCCTTGAAGGTGTTCCCTTGAAAAATGTTTGGAACGCTAGTGTATTAAAGAAATATTTCATGTGAAATGTGTGTTCTATTTTATGTAGTATAAAGTTTTGATGACATGTTGTCATATGTAATTTTTCGGCATTTACTAGTAGTGTAACCTATTTTAACACTTACGAAATACAATCACATTACCTACTTTCGATACGATCTGACCACAGCCTAGCTAGCTGACTCGATCGTTCAAGTGAGGGGAGAATAAAAATAAAATAATCATGGACCTCAAGGGGAGTTGAAAGTGCGGTATGATCCACTGCCTTTGCTCAGCCTGACAAAGGTTGGATACTTTATCTCGGTATGTTTTATATCCGATAGTCAGCACAGGCATTATAGAGTTTTCCCAGAATTTGTTTACGAATAAATTCTGTCTAAAAACTCGGGGAGTATTATTGGAATTATTGGTAAGGTATATCTTTGAAATACCGATAACAAGGTGTTAGGGGTAAGATGTATTCGCAAAATTAAATACCGAGAAATATAATTTTGAAAGCCGAAAAACATAAACTCATGTTAAGAGGGCGAGCATTACGTGTTAGTTAAAAGGTAAATAACGACCATATCATAAAACAAAGTAATATGGTAAGGAAGTAAATAACTAGCTGATTAGAAATAATTGTAACGAGTACAGACACGCAAGTAAAATATTTAAACAATCAAAAGAAAAATTGTTGCATAATACAGACAGGTGTAATTGTTTAAAACATGGAAAAGGGTACAGACAAGCATAAACATTGTAACCCAGAGATGACTGCCCTTCTGATTAAATCTTGTCAGCCTCCTTGGTTGATTCAGCTGCATTAACAGACTCTTTCTCAGGTTCTTTATTGGAGGGACCGGCAGACCCATCTTCACCAGCATGAGTGGTAACAGGACTATTGATAAGGGCGTCATCAAACTCCACTTTCGGCAACTCGCGTGGGTCTAGGTTTGTTATCACAGCATGCGGGGGGAGCTCGTCAAAGTACTCACTCTCATAGCTGGTAGGAGAGTGGTTCATCTCTTCGTTAAAAGCCCTCTCGACGGCCTGCCACTTCGTCGAATCCCACCCCTCCTTCTAGCGCCAATTGTTCCTGCTAGATTCTGCTCCCGTTAATGTCTGAGGGCTGGTAATGGTTTATCGTCCAATCGCTCACCTACACAGCCAATACAGATTAGCTAGCCCGGGGGTTATCCGGGAATAACCACTCCGATGCTAAATTCAGTACCTTTGTGAGAAGAAAGTGAAAGAAGAGAGAGAAAATGTTTTAGAGAGAGAGAGAGATTCCACCTCTGAAATGAGGATTTGCTTGGGTATTTATAGGAACACAACCAAGCAGGTGCCACCTATATAGATAGGTGGCACACCGACCTTGTAAATAGCAGGTGCCTACGCGACACTAAGCAACTCTCCATGTGTCAGTGGGACATGCCACGTTCCGAGAAGCAGCTCTCCACGTGGCAGAGACTAATGTCGGTAAGGACATGAATTATTCCATGATAAATGAGGGCTTTAAACTGCACGACACTCTTTTACCGGCATATTATAGAATCTACCGGTATATCCCGTACAACTATGATAAATGAGGGCTTTAAACTGCAAGGCACTCTTTTACCGGCATATTATAGAATCTACCGGTATATCCCGTACAACTATGATAAATGAGGGCTTTAAACTGCAAAGCACTCTTTTACCGGCATATTATAGAATCTACCGGTATATCCCGTACACCATCATCATCAAATCACCACCGCTCATCATCATTGAAAATCGGCATCAAGCAAACACCACCGTTCGATCCTCATTTAAAGCCATGTGTGAAGCTCGTGGAGTGGTTCGGTCGAACCATGGGTTGGTGTGGCCGAACTACGGGGTTGGTTCGGTCGAACCATGGGTGAGTTCGACCACACCTCTTCAAATTACAAAACCTCAAAAGTTCCTGACTCGTACTTCGACCGAACTCCTCACCGGTTTTCCCGAACCATGATAATTCGTAATTTACTCTGATTTTGCTCTATTTCTTGCGCGAATTAGTAGGGTGGTGGCCGGAATTGAGTGGCTGCGGTGGTCGGAGTCGTGGTTTGGTGAGGTTGCTGCTGTTCGAATGGAATAGGGGAGGCATGGCTGGTTGTTTTTGTTGTTGTTGCGGTGGTGGAAATGAGGGAGCAGGGAGTTGCACTGGTGCGGGCTGCGGTTCATTTTAGGTTGGTTGGTGTCGTGAGGGTGAGTGGAATTGGTGGTTGATGGTGGTTCAGGTGCGATTGGGTTGGTAATTGGTGTGGGTTTTGGTGGACTGATTTGGTTGGTGGTTGCAGCAGGGGAGTTGGTGATTGGGTTGACTGACGATGGCTGCGTGGTGGTGTTTTCCAGGTAGCGTTGCTGCTGGTTGTTATGGTTTGGTTTTGGTGGCGTTGCTGCGCCGATTTGAGTGGCTACTGGTTGATTGGAACAGGGGAAGCTGCTAAGGTCAGTGTGGATTGGGTGGACGGTGGTGCAGGGGTTGTGTGAGGGAGGCAGCAGCTATGAGGTGGAGGATAATAGGAGGGGCTGCGGTGGTGTTGGTGGCTTGTGCAGTCGGTAATTGACTTTTGCCATGAATTCGGAAACCGAACTCACTCGACTAAAAACCCAAACACCTACACACAAAACTGAGAATAGAATTGGGACAAAGAATAAAATAAAATAAATAAAATAGATAAAATAGAAAATAAAAGAAATAACACTAAACTAATAAAAATATAAAACTATACAAGTAAATAAAATAATATAAAATAACAAAATAACTTAAAACTAATAAAAACTTTGAAAGTAACAAAGAAAAGGAACGAAATAAAATAAATCGAAAGCAAATAAAATACGAAAATAAACTAGAAACCAATTAAATAAAGAAATTAAATTAAAACATACTAAAACAAAGAAATAAACTAGGAACTTTATTAAAAAGAAAACAAGAGAATAAAAGGGAAAATAAGGGAAAATAAACATGAAAATAGCTCTAAAACTACTCCCTAAGAGTGACATAAATGTCACTCATCAATCTGACCCGAGATGTCCCAACTCGGAGATGACCCGAGACCCAAAATGACCCAACCCGAAGTTGACCCGACCCGAAAATGACCCGACCTTTAACTTCTTTGAGTAAATAATTATATAAGTTATAAAAAGTTTATAATAGAAAATTATTATTTAAAATAGACCCAACAATATCTTATATGACTACATTGACTTTCATATAATAGCTAAAAAAATGGTCAAAGTGAGATGTGTGAATAGTGCAAAATGTCAAATCATTCAGAGTAATTTGGGACGGAAGGAGTATAAGAATAATTCAAAGAAATTATTACAATAATGACAATGATAATAAGAGTGTTAAAACTAAGATCAATAAGAGAGTACAACTCAATTAGTTAGATTATCCCTCTTAGTTTCAGGAGATCTTGAAAGTGATTCTCAGTCTAAACACAAAAAAAAAGTTCAATAATAGTCAAACAATTACTATAATCCATGAAAAATATAGCGTTAATAAATATAATGATTTTTTCGTCAAATAAATATATATACAATTGTTGAATTTAACCTAATGAGTCACCCGAATATGACCCGACTCGAAGGTAACTAAAAAATTGGACCCGAAAATTACCCGACCTGACCCGAAAATTGACCCGACACAAACTGACCCGATCAAAACTTGACTTGACCCGATTATCAGTCGACCCGAAACCCAAAATGACCTAATCCGACCCAAACTTGACCCAATAACCTTTTAACCCGAACTTGACCCGACCCAAAATAACCCAACCCGAATGACCCATTTGCCAGGTCTACCCGAACTAAAGCTTGTTTCGTGGAGGCGGATGCACGATCTGCATGGTGCATCCGCTTCAAAGTACAAAAAGGCGGAATGAACATGCAGATATATACTAAGGTACAAAAAGTTGTAGATTCAAATAATACAATGTACATTAAAATACTTACATGATACAAATAATATAATGTATATTAAACATGTAACCAATCAACATTATAATATATATGTTCATTAGAATATAATACAATGTAAATTATAATACAATAAAATGTACTTTTTTTATATGCATACATGGTCATTTATACCAAATGTACATTTACTATATGAATAATGTTCTTTTATATTATCATGTTCTTTACTAATATTACAAATGTTATTTAGATTTACAAAAAAAATCATATAAAACTAGATGTTCTTTATAAAAACAACTATATATTCTTTACTGAACAACTAAATGTTCATTCCGCCTTTTTTTTTTAAAGAAAATTGGAGCATGGTGCATCCGCATCCACAAAAAAAATTTCATACCCGAATCCCATCCCATAACTCTAGGTTGCTGAAACATCGACGGAGTTAGAAAGTGGCATGTGGCAATCGCCAAACCAACTACCTACTAACCACTTACCTCAATTCTACTCGTACTTAGTACTTACAATTTAATGGGATCAACTACTTTTAATGCCCAGTTCTTTCATTTCCCTGCCATTTTAGCCCATCTCATCGTGAACTAGCTGCTTCTTCGTCATTTCCTTCTCATTCTCTCTCCTCTTCTTCTCTGATTGGTAAAAACAGAAGATTTGTAAGAAGATTTTGTGTTGCAATGGCTACTGATTCGAATAAGCCTACTATCCTTGTTACTGGTGCTGGTGGTAGAACTGGTATCTCTCTTTCTTTTTGGCTTTTATTTTGTTTATATTTGTTGAGAATTTGTTGGATTAGTTTATTGATAAGGTTTTGTATATTTAATGTTTACGATTTTCGTTTTTGCAAAATGACAAATCACATATCGTTGTCTGAGTAATTTACTAATTATTAGGGTTTTGTTTGGTGTCAATTTTAAATATGATTAATTAAATTAAAATTGGTTAATTAGTTGGGGTTACATGAGCATTGATGGGACCAAAAGAAAGGAGAGGGTTTATGTTGATGAACATCGGGGATAAAAATCTTGGTTCATGTAGTAAACCTTATCATACTAGGATTACGGGTCTGATATTAGTAATGTTGAGGTGGAATTGATTAATTCGAGGGAGATGCTACTATGAGACTGAGTTTGTATTAAATAATTCACGGTGAAAGTTTATGACAACTTTTATCATATTTTAAGATTTAGTTGGTTGATTAGTTCATGACGACAACATCAAATTAGAGAATAAATCGCTTGAAAAAAGATCATTAAATAATTATGAAAGAAACGTGAAGTGTACATTATAATATTAAAACTGCAAAGTTAAATCCCAATCCCAAATATTTGCAAATTTAAAAGATAAGATTGTATTTGATTAGGGGAAAAAGCAAGCGCTTCATCCTTATGGTGGTCGAATCTTTCTATTGTTTTAAAAATCTTGTCTATAATGTTGTTTAAATCTTTTTGATTTAATGCATACCCGTCGATTATAATTTTGTCTATATTTTTGTTATCAAAGTTGTATATACAGAAAATGTAATTTAGATATGCATATTAGATTGGATTAGGCTGTAGCTCTTTTTACTAATATGCTTACGTCCATGGTAATCCTTTAATAAATGGGTTGTAGAAACGTGTTTTTACTCTGAGTGGTCCAAATTATAAAGTTCCAGTTATGGTTTAGTGCAATGATTTTTTGTTAGGGGCCACAATAGTGCAATATAATATACTATGCACGAGCCATAGTGCTCATCTGTCCTTAGTCAATAGTTGCAACTATGAGTTTTAAGCTATTCACGGCGATAGTCACGGCCTTACATCCCTTGTTTTAGCAATTAGGTTTTATTAGAAATTGTATGGCCTTCATAGAAATTATATGTATAGCTCAGATTAAAGACGTCTATGATATGGTAGGGGAGATTATATGGCGTGCTTGCCTTTGTATCTATGTGTATGTGTGTGCTTCCTTTACAATGCATAAAGGCTAAAGGTATCTACGTAACACTCTTGCGGTCTGTACTGAGAAAAGTTCATTATTGAGGGACCTTGTCAATCCTGTAGTGATAATATGCTAATAGATCACCCCAAGGCCCAAGAACCAAACATGATTATCTGCTATGATATATTTATAAAGTAATGCATTCCTTGACCTTGAAATTGGTATATAACATTGTTATATTGTGAAGATTACATTTCTTTTGTGTGTGTCTTGTCTCACAAATGGCTCTGCAAGCATAAATAACTTGAGAGTGAGAATATTTGTAAATTATATGTTATGCTTGAGCATTGTAGATACTTCCTCCGTTTCTTTCACATAAAATGAGGTTAATAGGTTGTAAGGAGCATAATCAAGTGGGTCATGTGCTTTAAATTAGGGTAATAGTACAATTTTCACAATAAAAAACCGTTCTTTTATAGCATGTTGCAACTATTATGACATTTCCATTTTATGGAAGTGTTGAAACTATAAAGAGACGGAGGAAGTAGCATTTATGCCTCCTTAGATAGGGGCTAGCTTTTTTGCGGGACTTCTAGTTTTTTCACTCCGTTTCTTCCATACTTCCATAGTCCACTTGTGGTGGGACTTTAGGCTTTTATCAACACAAAGATTGCTATTATCTGGTCCAAGTGACAGCTACGGATTAAGCTTAGGGGTTTGCTTCCGTGCGGATTGTGACCATGAGTTTAAGATATCTTTCTCTCTCGCAGTTGCTCTAAATCTGTTGATTAATAGAGGAAAACTCATTCACAGAGCCACATAAGTGTTTTATTTTATGGGGCTCCTGTGATTAAATTACATGGCTTGTTTTGTCTGTCTTTTTTTCACTTAACACTCTTTAAAAGCAACCACTTTACCAATTGTCAAATATCTCCCTATTTTATCACACCTTTTATATGCGGCTTTTCCCATGACAGTACATCAACTCATCCCATTGTTCTTCTCATGGATTTTTGAAATTGCATCAAAAAATTTGGTTGTCTTCCAAGTTTTTTATGTTGATGGCTTCTTTGTCAAGGTATCTTCTTAAAAACATTTATTAGATTTTAATTGGTGTCCTCCAATCTAAGAGGTGCTTCTTTTCCTTGCCACTTGAAGCATTACTATGACTGAGTATATAAAATATGTTCCTATATAATCTCCTTTAATCTTGGTTTAGTATTTTGAATTTTCAAAAAATTGAGTTAAGTTTGACATTGCAGCATAGAAGGATGTACCTACATTTTTCTTTATTCATCCTCCTTGGTAGTTAAATGAAAACTCCCATTAAACATTTGGTAATAAAACCAAAGAAAAAGCTAATAGTTAAATTTAATTTCTTTGGATTTTTTGGTATAGTAGATAAAAGGAAGATTTTAGGAATTTTCTCAGTAAACATATGATAAATCAAAGCTAGCTGAAATCTGGACACATCAACCTCTAGGATGCTGTTTAACACTTTAAAATAAACACATAATTAAGTTATGATACATCATAGCTATCTAAAATCTAGGCTAATTAACCTCTAGGATATTTTGAACCATAAAATCAAAATTGAATTTAATTTTGAGGTTTCTTGGCAGTATCGCATGAACCTCTCTGCCTTTATTGCTATAACTAAGGATTGTCTGTGGATCAACATTTACTCTAAATGAACCTCATTATAGTTAGGCCATCCTATTACATTCCTCAAAGTGCTCTATTTCATTAGAATTACAATTTAATCCTAACCTATGGCCTACACAGAAAAGTTTTATCCATGCCTAAGCAATGTACCATTCAGCATATGGTACCTTTATTGGTCTAGTGATCACTGATCAGTCTAAATAAATTAAATGAATATTGGATGGGATTAGTTGATTTTATCAACCAGTAAGCTTATTTCCAGTAGAACCCTTAGAATTAATAGATGCTAGAGGTTCTCTTGTCAAGCTATAGAAGTATCTAAACTTTGTATAGATTCCTACTCACGAAGTTGAGAATGGGATACAAGAAATTATTTTGCAAGGAAAATTAATCGAATGTTTATATGGTACCTTTATTGGTCTAGTGATCATGGATCAGTCTAAATAAATTAAATGAATATTGGATGGGATTAGTTGATTTTATCAACCAGTAAGCTTATTTCCAGTAGAACTCTTTGGATTAATATATGCTAGAGGTTCTCTTGTCAAGCTATAGAAGTGTCTAAACTTTGTATAGATTCCTACTCACAAAGTTGAGAATGGGATACAAGAAATTATTTTGCTAGGAAAATTAATCGAATATTTATTTATATAAATATTTAATTATATAAAAAACGGAGGTAATGAGAAGTGAAAAAACTCTGCTTTAGAAATTTGTTTATGTAGTTGAAAGAATATGGACTGAATTCTTGAAGGACATGACACACACTTGGAGTTGGAGGTCTTGTCTTCCTATGCTCATTTCACACATTATTTTAGGCCTCCAATATTGATGTAGTTCCAAATTTACAGCCCTCAAAACATGCTAAGTTTCCCATAATCGATAATTTATTTGTTCCAAGGTCTTTGTGCCCAAATACAGACCCTTCTGTCACGATAAAAGCTGCTGTAACTTTCACATAGATTGAAATTGTTAACCTGAAAAGGGGATACATAGTGTTAAAAAGTGAACCAATGTTAAAACTCGATCCACTCACAAAAAAATGGATCGTTCATGTACGTAAACCTTTAAATTACGGGAGACTATTTATCCAAGACTTGGGATCTTAAATCAAATTCTGACTAAAATCAGAGCATCCTCTCCAACAACCAGAGTTGGAGCCTTTTGGCACTTTTTGCCTGCATGCATACATGATATTAAAGAATTCTTATACTCTATAGATGTCATATTATTTCTGTTGGTGTTTTTATATTGATATTAACTTTGCTTTGGCTTTTGAAAGGCCAAATTGTCTACAATAAGTTGAAGGAAAGATCCAACCACTTTAATGGGAGAGGTTTAGTCCGAACAGAGGAGAGTAAGCAGACAATTGGTGGAGCTGATGATGTTTTTGTTGGAGACATTAGAGATCCTGATAGCTTTGTTCCTGTTATCCAAGGCATTGATGCTCTTATAATTCTTACAAGTGCTGTACCAAAAATGAAACCAGGATCTAATCCAGCCTTACAAAAGCCTGAATTTTGTTTTGAAGAGGGCGCATATCCAGAGCAGGTAACTACTTCACTATGTTTGTTTGTTATGTTTTGTATCTATTCCATCCCTGAAGTTGATGGGAGCTTGCCACCTGTTAGGTTGACTGGATAGGACAGAAGAATCAAATAGATGCTGGTAAGAGTTCCTTGCTTCCTCATTCACTTTTGCTTTTCCATTTTTCTATAGTGCACAAACTATGACTAAAGAATTAATATTATGGCTTTACTTGTTAATCACATCGTTTCTTTGAACAGCCAAAGCTGCTGGTGTGAAGCAAATAGTTGTGGTTGGATCTATGGGAGGAACAAACCCTGATCATCCCCTAAACAGCCTTGGAAAAGGAAATATATTGGTAATTTTTCATTTCTTTACGACTTCATCTTTCTCATGTTAAAAGACAATATTTGGTGTGCCTCTGGTACTCTGTTCCTAAGGTAGAAAGAATATAGAAAGATATTTGTCATGTTCTGGTTCGTTCTGGTGCTCAAAATACTGAGCTTAATCATCTTATGTGAATTAATGTAAAAGGAATGACTATCCACCACTCAATTATAATTTAATCTTAAGGAAAGTTATTTGCTTTTGTATGTGTTTGGCTACATAGATACTTTTGCTGATAGGAAACCTAACTTATTTTTCGCTCTCAAATATTTGAGCTTATGTTTTACTCAATTACATGCTTGCACCATTCGCATTACATTATTTGACATAATTTTAGATAAGACCAAACAAGTTAAGATAGGTTACTCTAAAATGTTTCAATAAGTTTTGATAAGATAAAAAAAGATAAGTAATACTTGGTATTTCCTTTGTTCTTTCTTTGTTGATACATTTTTATTTTTGACGCTGTTTACAAGCTATACTTTGACTAGCTTTTGTGATTTATAGTTATGTGCGATCTTGTTTGAATTATCTTAATGTATATTCTATTAATGCATTTAATAATTTTTACTTGTTGATAATTAGAGATATTAATCCTTTAAATTGTGATAAAAGAATTGTGTCAACTATATAAGAACGGAGGAAATATTTCTTAAGATTAGAAAAGATAGTTTCATGTGCAGAGCACATGCTCTGTATCAAGCTTTGGGATATGCAACTCCAAAATTTAAGATTCATAAACCTGCAACTGTCAAGTAAAATGGGATGTAATTAGTTGTTTTAAATTTGGTTCGCGGCAGCGAAAATTCGAAAACTGTATGGGCAATTGGAATGTTGAATAGCACTTCAAAGATTGTAGTTATGCATTGATGATGCATTGATGCTGATAGTATTTGTTGGAACAAGGATCTGTGCATAGAAGATTCATATTTCACTTTCTATGTAAGATATAATTTGTTAGGATTCTTGGGAATTTGTAGTTGCTGCTGACAAGTATGAATATTTGTTAAGGACATTTCATTATAGCATTCATGAATGCTAGTCTATTTCACTTGTGTTTGGTCAATGTAAAACCTTATAACAGCACTTGTTCATATTATGATCACAATGTTACAGGTATGGAAGAGAAAGGCTGAACAGTATCTGGCTGATTCTGGAATCCCATATACAATCATAAGGTATTCATGCTATTTAACATAAATTCCCTGCATTAAGACAAAAGTATGCTTTATGGATGTGTAGATATGACTAGAATGAAAAACTTAAGTGCTTTTAGGTTATAGTATGGCTTCTATGAGTTGTGGCAAAAAGATGCATTTGGCTGTTGTGCAGCCTGCTAACATCTTAAGCCTCTTTCCCTGATGTTTTTTTAACAATAAAATTAGATGCAAATACACAGAAGTGAATAAGAATAATTGACAATGTGATTTCCAGGGCTGGAGGCTTGCTTGACAAACCTGGAGGTGTCAGGGAATTGCTTGTCGGTAAGGACGATGAACTTCTTCAAACCGAGACAAGAACTGTTCCAAGGGCTGATGTTGCAGAAGTCTGCCTGCAGGTCTATAACTTCTTTCTCGTTATTGTATAGTTGATTATATGATTTGTTGTTATTCTTTCTAAATGATCCACTTTTCATTGTGATTTCTTTTTGAGTTTTTGCAAAAATGTTTCCTAGGGTTCGCTTCTTTTAGTTTGGATGTTTTTTATTTTTTTTTTGGAATGGCAAGCTACTACATTTGTATCTGACCTATCTGTTATAAATTGACAGGCTTTGAAATTTGAGGAGGCAAAGTTTAAGGCTTTTGACTTGGCTTCGAAAGCAGAGGGAAGTGGTGCACCAACCACGGATTTTAGAGCTCTCTTCTCCCAAGTCACAACTCGTTTTTAATTTATCATAGCGACACTAGGCTCTTTGGCTATCGTAGATGTATGTGTATGGATTGCAAGCAACAACTTTGTTAATTGTTTTACTACCTGTAATTTTGGGGTTTAAATTCTGAATAGTAACCATGTACTTTTGCTCATTTTCAATGGTAACAAAATATTTGGCGTATTCTCCCAAAAAACATTACTTTTATAAATTTCCTTAATGTGACAATATTTTTAGAATTAGTAGATAAACAAATTTGATGAAAAAAATAATCAAATACAAACCATATTCACCAACCCAAAAAATTAATAGATTACACAATAGAAAGAACAATTGGACTTCAAAAGAAATTAAAAGAGAAAGGAGAAGCCTCCTTGCCTATAATTCCTCACTATTTGAATGTTCTTTTATTTTATTTTTTATTATTTTTTTACAAGAAGTCCTAATAAAGAAAATACACACAAAAAACTAGAAGGACCAACTTAGCAATTGTCGATGACGAGCTTGAGTAGCCAACCAGTGAGCAGGGGCAACCCACTGACGAGGAACCTTGCGAAGTTTGCAGATAAAGAACTGCAAGACAGATTGCCAAATCTCGTGAAGCAACCAGTGGTAAGAAATATCTCTGTCACCACCATCTCGTAGAAGAGAAAAAAGATTCGAAAAGACGACAAAAGCGTCGACGACCAGCAGCCCGAAGAGCCCACAAACATGCCCGTAACTCAAACTGAAGGGCCAAATAGGAGTGACAAGCTCTCGAGCCACCTCCTAACACAGAATCTGAAAACACTTCCCTAAAAATCCAACATGTTCCTGCACTAAAATTCTGAGCACTCCAAGCCCCCATAAAGAAGGCAAACGTCAAAAGCAGAGGAAAACTAACCCTATAGATAGCATGAATCAGAAGCTACTGAAGTAGTAAGAGATGAATCCCCTAACGAGCGAACAAGGGACCTGAACCCTTGCGCTAAAACACTCCTAAAGATCCAATCTTGTATCAAATGGAAAATCGCGCCAGGAGACAACACTACTTGTCTAAAAATCATGTGGTTACGCGCAATCCAGACTACCCAACAAAAGGATACAAAGGAGACCAAACCGTCCCAATTCCGAGAGGAAGGAAGCTTAGAGATTGTATCAACAAACCAATCAATAAAAGGCTTCCCATGCAAAAGAGGAGAAGAAAAGGCAATCGGCGCACAAGCCCAAAGATGAGAAGTAAATGAACAATCATGGAATAGGTGGTTTGATGCTTCTCGTTCTTGGTAACAGAACACACAAGTTGGATCGATTGGAATCCCTCGAAGCTGCAGATTCCCAAAGAGAGGCAGGGCATTGTGAAGTAATTTCCAACAAAAACACTAGAGCTTTGGCATAAGAGGCAATCCCCAGAAGTGTTTCCACCAAGAGGCCGAAATTGTACCCGAGACCCCAAAAGACATCGAATGACTTAGCAACATTGAATAAGCACACTTAGCGGTGAAAGATCCAATCCTAGAAAACTTCAAATAGACGAAATCGTCCATCGGCTGAAAAGGGCGATCCAAAGCCATGATGCAAAGTGATGTAGAAGCATAAAAAAACCGATGAACTTAGGTCGAATCCCACGCGTAAGAACGCTGATTAATAATAGAAGAAACATGTGTCGGAGGATCCGACACACCAGAACCATCAAGAAAAACAACAGCCCCCTAGGACCCAATCATCCTCAAGTATCCGAACCTTAGAACCCGAACTAACCTTCCAAGCTATACCCCGATCAAGAGTGGATAGGCCCATTAAAAGGCTACGACAACCCCAAGAAGACTGAGGAATCGTTTGAGTCTTAAAAAACGAAGGGAAGGATACTTAGCAGTAAGCAGCCTCAAAACCAAAAGTTGGGGATGTTGATGAATGCACAAACATTGCCGAGGTAGAAGCGTAGAGTTAAAGCTTTCCAAATGATGTATACCTAAACCTCCCAGCTAGCACTGTCAAAACAGTTTGACAGTTCAGGTTCGGTTCGGTTTGAAATCGGTTCAGTATTAAATTGGGTCGGTTTGAAATCGGTTTAAATGTATCGCGGGTCGGTTTCAGTTCAGTTTAAATAGTTATCGGTTCGATTTGGTTTCAGTTTATTCTTGAGCGGTTTTAATTCGGTTCGGGTTGTAAATGGTTCGGGAAGTAAACAGTTCAGTACATCCGGGTTGCGGTTTGTTAACGATTTGGTGTAAACGGTTTTTATACCGGTTCAAACAGTTTTGGGTTGGAAACGGTTTCGTGTTAGAAACAGTTCGGTTCTTTTTCAGTTCATTTTATTTTGGTTCGGTTTGTTAACGGGTTCGCCTTTTATACGATTTAACTGTAACACCCTCGATTTACTAACTGAAAATAAATAAGAATTAAAGGAAAAATAAACAACCTTTAAATAAAATTGCAGAAGCATACTCCTAAATCGGAGGTATTATTGCCACACTCCACAACCTGTCAAGTGTTAAGGCTTACAAATCCCAATAAATCTTGGTGAGCTATTTATAACTTTACAAACTTGTTATAGCATACTAATCGATCACTTGAGCTCCCTTTAGCTACGATCACTTGATCAAACCTGCTTATACAAACTGACTGCTCACCATTAAGGACAAATTCCAAAATAAATCGTCGCAGGGCCACCATAAGAAAAAGACATGGCCGCAATCACAAGTAACAAAACAAAATAACACACACGTCAGCAAGAAGCTGAGTAATCATCACATATCAAAATACAAAGAATAATATAATAAGTAAAATTACTAGATCAATTAAACGATGTAGTTCGAAACTACATTACACATATACACCTCAAGAGTAAAATAACTTCCTACTCTAAAAATAACCTTTTTCAAACTCAACCTCAAATATTAATACGAACTTTTACTCAATTAACTCCTCTAACCAATAAGTGTGCCACACTCTTTTTTTTATACCTAGCCTTGGACATGAGTAATATGAATAACAAACCAATAAGTATAAAAACTTGAATACTCCCAATAACTAGAAAACACCTTGAACCAGACCACATACGGGCCAATTCCCACTGTAGGAGACCATAGAAAAATAAATAATAAAGATTGTACCTCATTCTTAACTCATGATTATCATCTCCTTACCAACATGCCAAGGACTAAGGTCTATAACGCCGAGCCTCAAACCAAGAATAAAATATAATTCTCAACCTTTTGATCTCATACATCGATCAAATAATCTTTAACTTGATAATAAATAGTATCTCAATAATGGCACGAATTCCCAAATAACATGACAATCCGATTCATAATATCTCAACTCTAAAAAAAAATACTTATAACCCAAATATAATCAAATCTCAACCCAAAAATAATACTCTGCATTAACAACTCTAAAACCTTGATAAAACAATACTCCCTATAACAACAATATTAAAAACCCTAAAATTAACACAATTTATATAATCAATAATACACCAATTAAATCATATATCACGACATATTTAACAATATATACAATAATGGATCATATGAATAACAGATTTTATAAACTTATACATAATAATACAAATTATAACACAATTTACTCCAATAAAAAAGTTGGTGTGATTACCTAGTAATTAAAGGGGCTCAAATAGGTTCTACACCTCCACTCACTTGCGGTAATCGTCTCATATACATGACACATACAACACCAATAAACTATGATGATAATTATAAAAAGAATGTCACTAGTATCCAAATTGTGCATGACAGTGATTGAAAAAAAAAAAAAAACAATTCCATTAGTGCTCTTGCTACCCAATATTCACACGCTAATCAAGATTGAGCTTCAACAACAAAATATGAAGGAGTACATCTAAAGGGCAACGAAAATAAACGGCAAGCGAAAACAGAAGCTATGTGAAAGGTTTTATATAATTATAGCTTCTAGGGTTTAAAGATATATATACTAGTATATGATAAAATAAATAAACAGCTGTTTAAGTTAAAATAAGATTCATAAAACTAAAATACTCGTAAAATAATTTTTTTTTTTATAAAAAAAACTAAAAAAATTATTAGATAAGATCATGAAATATTCGGGTATTACAATCTACCCTCCTTAAAGCAAGTTTCGTCCCCGAAACTTAACATAGAAAAACTTAGGGTATTACAATCTACCCTCCTTAAAACAAGTTTTGTCCCGAAACTTAAAGTAGAAAAATAACTTACTTGTAAATTTGAGAGAAAGTAAAAACTAAACCAAACTTTTCTTTACAAATACATAGATAGATTATTACATACTACCCCCCTTCAAAAGGAGTTCGTCCTCGAACTCAAAGTTAGCCACATAAAAAACACATAGTAAGCACAAGCATATAGAGAGAAACACTCTTAAAACGGCTTAGCCTATGTTAATTTTAGTTCTAACTCTTAATTAACAAGTTTATTCTTTAACAAAACGATGCTGGGATATGAAAATCCCTGCGTAAATCCCATGAGCGGTTTGACACTGATACCATTTTGTAACACCCCAATATTTCTCTCTTTAAATCTGTGAGGACCCTGAACAATATTCAAGAGAGTTACTGGTGTGCTACCGCCACGTGTTCAAACGTTAAGGCTTTATCAGAAATTAGCAGCGGAAAAACTAACTCAGTTATAAATAAGTTTCAAAACCAACAACCAAAACCAAATTAAATCATACAAGTTGGAACCATTAAGGCCCTTATTCAAAACCCCACATTAGTAGTAAATAAATAAAACCAAAGTTTAAATAAATTCAAACTTATGAAAAGAAATAAACTGCGAAGAATAACCAACTCTCCACTCAAAATCCCACAACCCTAATGCGAATGCTGTGTGTGTAAGAACCTGTGGTTAATCTGCTCCCCAATATTACAAGTGTAAAAATTGGATCGCCACAGGGTCATTGAAAGGCGAAGGGCATGACCAAAGAAAGACACAGACAAAAGCACGCAATCAGCAAAGCTGAGTACATACAAGCTGCGAAATAAATTAAGAAATCCCTAACATGCTACTAATAATCAAACATCATGAATTATTAAATTATAGACTCAACACACGACTCAACTATTTATATTACTAAGACTCCATTAACTAATAATAGGTATATCATTATTTTTATTCATTGGATTACGCTATAGACAAGATTGTCCAACCCATGCTCCATTTGGAACATCAATAAAAGAAAAACCCCATGCCTCATTTTGGAAACATC